CTCTCTCTCTCTCTCTCTCTCTCTCTCACACACACACACACACACACACACACACGCACACACCGAAAATAGGCATCGCGCACAGTGCGCACCTTGCAGTGGTAGCGCGTCCCCATGCGCTGTGCGCACGGCGCACCTCGTGCGCCTGCGCGCGCACATGCGCGCGCGGTGTCACTGCGCGCATGCCGCACGGCGCAGCGCACCGCATCGCGCACCGCACTAATGCGCCGCAAGTATGATTTAGAAAAAGGGGGAAAAAAAAATGTGGAAAAAAAAAAAAAAAAAAAAACCTTATCATGCCACTGATATGCATAGAACTTCATACGTAGCTGGAAGAATTGGGAAAAACAAAAGCTGACTAAGAGACTACACAAAGCATATTGGCAATTGAAGGAAATAAATAAAATATTAAAGGATAAATGCTAAATTGGGAAACACGAATGGTAATTGGGAAAACATGAATGCCTGATTAAAGTTCATTAAACCAAAACAGAAGCCTCAACCTTGCAGCTGGTTTGGAATTTAGTCCAACAAATTTGATTGTTTGGTTTGCGTGAGTTGGCAGTACATTTGCCATATCGGATTATCACAGCAAAGGAGGGAAGGTGGGATGAAGAGAGAGGCGAATGGGTATTCTTCTCTGGAGCGGAGTATCATCTGGGACCAGATGGGACAGACATACGAAGCCATGAAGTCCATGTGGATGATGACCGAAGCGAGGATCTTTGTGCTGATCGTGAACAGCAGTTCCTTCAGCAGCATCGTCGGCAAGAGCACGGGTCATCAGCTGAGGCTGCATCAAAGCAAGGAACAGGTGGTGCTGAGAAAGGGTCGAAGCGAGTAATGGGTCCCGCCGAGAAAGGAATGGGTGCTGCTGAACAAGGGATTGGTCCCGCTGAGAAAGGAACGGGTCCCACTGAGAAAGGAATGGGTCCTGCTGAGAAAGGACTGGTTCCCTTCGCAAGGAGAACTTATGGGATCAAGAGTCTGCAAAGATTTGATCGCAAAAGTAAGTAGGAGTTCTGTATGCTTCTTCTTCTTCTTCTTCTTCTTCTTCTTCTTCTTCTTCTTCTTCTTCTCCTCCTCCTCCTCCTCCTCCTCCTCCTCCTCCTTCTCCTCCTCCTCCTCTTCCTCCTCCTTCACACCCCGGCCACGAGCTACTAGGGGAAGTGGTAAGACCACTCCCTCTAGTAGCCCGCGACTGGGGTTTTGAAAGGGGAGTCAAGCGGTAGGCCCCCTACTTGAGGGAGTGGTAAGACCACTCCCTCTGAATGTGGTCTGGATGGACCACCGATCAGATATTAAACTGATCGTAAGGGGTACAACACTTGGTCTTAGCCAAAATGTCGAAAAAAGGTACTGTGTTGCGTTGTTGTTGTGTGTTGCTTCATTATTATACTTGTAAAGATGCTTCATATACGAGGAAAACAAAGTTGCAGTCGATGGCATATCGACTCAGCAAACACAGGCTTGCTTTTTTCTCTTTCCATTGTTTCCAAAGAAAAGAGAAAACGTGTCACTTTCTGCGCTGTGGGAAACGAGGAGGGATGAGCAAGTGCCAAGTGGGTCTCAAAATAGTCATCCGTAGCGTACGGAGCACCACTGTTCGTTCAAATGTACACTTGTGACTTGTGTGATTTTCAAAGTAGTAAGAGTAAAGGGGAGTGTGACCTGTTTCTTAGTTTGTGTGTGAGTGATCCCGAGCCTTTTGCGAGTGTTGAGTCTGACTGATGTTTCTTTTTTTTGTCTTTTTGTGATTGGGTGTCCTCTGAGAGTGTTGTCTCTGCTGGCAGTGCCCCCCCCCCCCCCCCCCTTCCTCCTCCCCCTCCCCCCCCCGCCGGTTGGAGTTAAAGGCCCTAGTTTCCGGACTCGTCATCCGCCAAGATTTTGAATGCATCTGCTCGGAGTCCTTGTCCGGATGCGTTCAAAATGTTGGTGGATGGCAAATGGTGCGACTAGGGCCTAATTCAACACCCGCGAATTCACATGCACAGCACACGACGGGGTGTGCCATTCGGCCAGTAGTCAAATCCAACAAGTACATATCAGCATGGTAGCAGTGCTGTTGCAGTGCTGTTCAAAAGAGCCAGCCAACGTCAGTGGCAGCACTGACTGTCGTGGCACTGTGCAAAAGTACCAGTACAAACCAGTGGTTGTGCAGCCTGCAGCAAATATACAAGCACGCAACTTCAGATTACAACCACACATGGCGCCACATAGCACCCATGGCACCCATGGCACATGGGCCCACACTTGGCGGCTGCAGAGGTCATTGTCTCTACCAAAATGGCTACCCTGGTCATCACTACACCCTCACTGGCCAAGATGCCTTCTGTTGCTGACCATTTTTTGCAGTCAGAAACGAGCCCTGACTGCAAGTCTTTCACAAATGAACCCTTTTGGAGACAACGCAATTGATCTGATTCTCTATCAAATAGTATCAATCGCTCATAATCACATAGCGTCAGGCTTTACCTGTCATGAAAAGAGGATGTAACATGCCATCCGCTAAGGAGCATAACCCTTAGAAAACCACCTTGCCTATCCTGTCCTATCTCACCCCTGTTCAAGTGAAGGAAAACCTGGTCCTTCTTCTTCTTCTTCTTCTTCTTCTTCCTCCTCCTCCTCCTTATTCTCTTTCCTATTATTCTTTTTCTTTTCTTCATCGTCTTTCGTTTTGTTTTCACTTTTTATTTGGTTGATTTTATTACGTTGTTTATACTCTAATTTACTCTAATTGTTATTCGGATGCATTTTTGTTTACTCTAATTTTCCTGTAAAGTATGACAGACTTTTAAGTTTTACTTGTCCCTGAGATGCCCAACTTTCAGCCATTCCTTCCTCTCTTCATTCCATATTTGCTTACTCTTTCATACTCCATGTTCAAACCAAAGTACCCCATCTTGCACCTGTACCCATCAGTGTCCAGGGTTTCCATTGTAAATACATTAGAATCATTACCCACTAATTGCAGAGTAAAGGTTGTCTGAGTGCTTGTGCTTTACATTTCCGTTTGACCCCAGATTTTGTTTTTTGGCTACGATCCTCAGAGTCTCCAAATGATTATTGAAAGGACGGTAAGTTGGTAACATTTTCGAAAACCATTGCCACAGAGCAGAGCTCTCCTTTCCAAACTCGGAACACGTCTGTGTTGTCCATGTTGAAGTTGAAGTTGTTAAGCTCAAGTTGAGCACTTTTGACTGAGGTAACTGTGAGGTAAAAAAGAAAAAAATGTTGTTGTCAGACCAGATTGAATGTGTGTACGGTGGCTGTCCGTAATTTCACCTCACTTTCTGGGTGCAGTTGTGACTGGACTTGGACGGATGCCTTTGAGTCTTGCGGAAGTTCAACGAGGAGGGGATTTTGACAGTATGACTCTTAAAGAGGTGAGTGTCTGAACAGTGAATACTGAACACACGATTCCCTATTTTTAGGTGCTTCTGCTTCCGCTGGGGAAGTTTCTTGCGTACTTGACCGGATTGACTCAGTTTTCCACTTCGAACTTTTAAAGTTTAAAGTTTAAACCATCAAAAATTCAAAATCTGTTTGATTATTTACTAGTGTTTAACGCTCCCTCACGGCCAGGGCCAAATCCCACTTGACCCATATTCTTAATTTCTGACCAGGGATTACAAATATCGATGGCTAGTAACAAAGAACCTGGCACGATCGCTTCTCGAGTTCCCGCCATCAAAATCTGTTTATTAAACTTGATTTGTCATTGCTGCGGCTAGATCCCACTTACTTGTATCTTCCATTTCTGACTGTAGATCATGGAGATTGATGGCCAAGAACGAAGGGTCTGGGTAACTGGGACCTTGTCCCTGGTGCCAATGACTACTGTCAGGTGGGACTCGCTCAGCGACACTGGGCAATAGGGCTTCGAAGAAGATACCGCGTCACCACAGACACTCATGGCTGAGGGTGGGGTTTATGGCTGTGACAGACTACCGTCTTCACCCCAATAGAACGCCCGGTCATGAAAGCCGTATTTGAGGCAACTTTCAGTCCAGGTGCAGCCATAATGATCGGGCGTTCTATTCGGGTGAAGAAGGCAGTTTTTCTCCGACTTACTGCCATTCTTGTCACGGGCTTGGATGTGCAGTCTACTAGGATTGCAGGGTTGGTGTGACTAAAGTCGACCCCTTTTCTCTCTCTCAGGGATGGGTAGTCGCTAACTCGGGGCGACATGATGGTGAGTGCTTATCAATCAGTCAGTGAAATGCATCCTCGGCAAACTGTCGGGGTGCAACCTCCTTATGAGTCTGTGAAAGTGCTGTGAAAAACAGTCTGGCACAGTCATGCTTTCTTTTTGTGGAGTCGTGTGTAGCAAACATGACAGCATTCACAAAAGCTAGGTCACTAAGGGCCAGGCACCACTGGTGCTACGGTCGGGCTTGGAAAACATGAACCTGGTCATACTGCTGGTCAGGTCCGTGCTTCGATGCCATGAACATAGCATGAGTGAGGCCTTGGCTCTAAAGCCTGTGTGATTCTGCTGCAGAGACGACTGTGACACTGCTCCGCCAATACTTCAGGAGGGGCATGGACGGTAATGGTTAATAGGTGGTGTCATTTTTGGCGAATTTTTCACCGAAACAGCCGAAACTGCCATATTTCCCTTGAAAACCCCCGAATTTTTTGGAGCTTCCATTAACCATCTCTCGGCATGCATCTATGTTTGCCATTGTATGGCCTTTGGAACCACTAACCACTAACCTTCTATTTCACAGCGACAGCCACTTAGGGTTGAGGACCTTGAGGTTAACTATCCCTGCAGCTTTGTCCTTTTTTTTGCCACCAAAATATATACTGGGCTGGGGTCGTTACCTGGCTTCAGTACAGCTGTATGGGTCTTACCTCTGTACTGACTGCGGTTCACCTTTTGTCAGAGGAATATATCTTATACTAAATAGAAGTAACTATACTATATCTTTACTATACAGTATAAATACTTCTATACAGTATAGATATAGCACAGATACCAAAATGAAAGGCGAAACGATTGAGCCCCAAATGATGACGGTTCAACTCTCGATTTTGGCATGACGATGCCATGATCTCATGACACATGTGTTTGGAAACAACGCATTGACTGTTTCCCCTTGAACTCAACGCATTGACTGTATCGCGCAGGAAATCTGCCTTGTATACATTCATAATGAGGGGGTGTTGTGTTCGGGGGAAGGCGGTCGTCGTCTCTTATCTAGTACTGACAGGATCATTAGGGATTGATATATCAGCCTAGGAAGTGATATGAAGTTACTGTGAATGCTTGTTTGAAGAATCCAAGATAAGATATTCACTGATTAACTCAGAAGAAATGCACATGTAATGCTGGGTTGATTCTTTCAGGACTTGAACTCATGATCTGTTCATCAAGAGTTACATTTGTGTAGTATTGTCAACCACCAGCCACATGGACTGCATCGATTCATGTTATATGGCATTATTCACGAGGACCATCCTGCTGCCGATAACTCTTTGCTTCATACCTGTCATCTTTTTTTCTTTCTTTCATTTAATTTTGGGCCTCTTGGTCCTGGCTCCTTTCTGTAGTCCAGGGATCGTCAGTGCCACTGGCAAGTCATAGTCAAACCTCCAGTCTGTCTCTCAGCTATCTTGTGTCGATGTGGCGGTTCACCTGCTGCAATATCGCGGGTCAGGCCTACGACACAGAAAAGGCTGGCGGTGCCTGGCAATGCCGTGTCCACAGCGGTTCGTCTTCTTTTTGGTCGGGGAGCAGAGCGCATCTGGAAAAGGAGGCTCGGACGGACTGGGGTTTACTAGTTTCTATGGTCCTGCTCACTTCATGATGCAAAACTTGAATGTGAGACAATTCTTTCACTGCAGCTCAAATAGAAGAAGAATGAGTCAAGGAGGGAAGATGGATGGAGAAGAAGAAGAAGAAGAAGAAGAAGAAGAAGAAGAAGAAGAAGGTGGTGGTCTCTCCCTCCTCTCCTGAGGTATGCTCTGGGTTCACATGTGGAGAGAGACAGCTTGCCCCCCCTTCATTGGTCTTGGCAGTGGGCTCTTGAGCAGGCCAACCCTAGCTAAGGGTTAGGAATGCACCGGCGCTTGGGCGCAGGAGGAGGTCGGTGCCAACGCATAACTCTTACAACACTCCAGCTTAGGTGCATAGATATGGCATGCTAGCTTCTTCCCCCGAATACAACGTACGGTCATTATAGCTGTATTTGGGGTATCTTTCAGTCTATATACAGCTATAATGACCGTACGTTGTATTCAGGAGAACAAATGTTGGAAACTGGACGTGGGAGGTTATATAAGAGAAGAATATAGCGTAGTTAAAAAATAAAAAAAATAAATGATGTAAGAATGATTCATTGATTCCCCTTGCTACCATACTTAAAGAGCTCTCTTTAGCTCACTCCCCCCCTCTCTCGCTGCCTTTTTGGCCAAATTGGCCAAGGTTATGGGGGACGAGACAGTACAAATATTCGGTGCAGGTCTCCAGACCCTGCTAAGACGAAAGCAGCAGGGCTCGAACTCACGGTCTGGCAGAACTGCCCACGGCTAATGATCTGACACCCTGACAACAGGGTCAGGGGAAATGCCGCCAGCACAGCCGGATCTTCCGTGCGGATTTCGTTTTTATTTTATATCGTTCCTTGTTGCACACGTGTGTTGCTCTGACATTTTGTCCCGTACTTTCTTTTTCGGCACCGTTTGCTTTTTCTGTTCTAGGTACATCTGAGGCAACAGCCTTTCAGTGTTCGGTTTTAATTTTTGATGCAGGAAACTGTAGTACATAGACGTTCTCGGGATCCCCATATGGGTAGCTACGGAAGAACGGTATGTGACCACATGCATGGTATCCGTAGGGCATATAGTGTCAAGAGACGAGGCGGAAGGTCTCTTTTGTGACAGAAGTACTCCTCAAATACACCTCCCTGGAGATCCCGTATGTAGGCCGATGAACCGGTAGGAGGATGCTGCATAGGTCTCTTTTGCGACAGAAGTACTCTTCGAGTACACCTCCCTGAAGATTCCATATGTTGGCGGATGAAACCGGTAGGAGGATGCTGCGTTGTCGTTTCCAGTGGGGAGAGATTTGGCTATGGTGGAGAGTGAGCAATGTGTGTGGACACAAAAAATTGAGTTTCGAAATGCGCGGGTTTGAACGCACAGTGTCCATTTTTTCGTGTGTGAGGTTGTGAGGTAAGTTTTCAGACTCACAGTTTGTCATGTGTCTTTACTTCGTTTTGTGTAAGCATCCCACCTATGCCTTCCCGAACAGGCTGTTTCGCCGCAGTCTGCCACTTTCTCCTCTACTTGGTATGACTAGCTAAGGCAGTACATCCTGAGCTACCTCGGATGTTCAAAGGACACCGCGACCTCTCTCATGCCCTCTCCTCTCTGCTACTGCCATGTCTGTTCTCTGGATGAAGTCCATGCCCAACCGCAACGCCAAGGGCCTTCTTGATGCAGCACCAACTAGGAAGGTGAAGTTGTAGTCCACCATAGCCAAAGGTAAGTCTCCTTGCCAGTTCCCACCTCGTTCTTCCTCGTTCAACCTCTCTCCATCACCATATAGCCTGGCTGGAAGGTTTTCTCCCTCTACCTCCATAGCCCCTAGGGCTTCTCTCTCTCCCTACTACACGTCCATAGCCATGGAGGTCTTCTCGTTCACCCTCAAGCTCCACCTTCACCTCCAGGAGCTCCTCCAACCTCTCCCTCTGGCCAAAGCAGCAGTATGACTGCTTGGAGAATGAAAAGAGCGATCCACTCTACTCTTTGCACTGAATAATATACTTTGGCCGCCCGGCGTCCAGTACCTCTTGGGCAGGTGCTACCTGCCTCTGCCTGGCCTCCCTCCCTTGTCTGCACTAGGCCTACCGGGTGATCCTGCTTTTGGGGCACATTATTGCACACTGGTATCTACCTACAGACACTGAATCTAGACTTCTGCCAGCCTACATTCAGGCCTTGAACCATCATCATACCTACCGGGCATCTACTGGACTCTTCCAGGCCCAACGGACTTGCTGCGAAATCCCTACCAGGCCTCTAACTTTTTTTTTTTTTTTTTTTTTTTTTTTTAAATTTAGACCATTTCTCGATTTATGCGTGTCATCCTTGCATGCTAATCTTCTCTGTATCGTTCCAATTTTAACGGATGTCCCGAAGGACGGCCTCTAACAAATTCTACTTATGTCCCTGGCCGCTACTCTATCCCCAAAACGTCCCTACCGGTAACTTTCTGCCCTGTCCCTGGCCATACTCTTACAACTCCTTTGTCCCTGTCCGAGGCACAGCGGCACAAATAGGGCCAACAGAGTTAACACAGGCAAGCACACGGCATACATACCTTAGCAGCAGACCACATACACACTTAGAAAAAACACAGCAAAACAGAGTCAGACTCCGAATTCTCAGCAATCACTGCCAATCAGATCAAAAGGGCAGAATTGTCAGACTGCAATAATGCAATTCATTGCACAGTACAATACCACTTGAACCCACGCCTCCTTCCGCTGTGGGCAAAGGAACCCCTGGCAAGCATTGATTACTTCTCGGAAGGAGGATAGACTGCCAAGCTTGCTTATCGATTAGATAATTTAGATTTCTATTTCCAATTGGATGACGAACTCTGGTCAATGTCACGGAGAAGCTAAGGCTTTGCTTTGCAATGTTTGGGACTCGCATTGCGCACTTCTGCGGAGTGGGCAGGACTTAGAGAGACATTGGTTCTCAGCAAAAGGTGAACAGGTGACTTCCATGCATGCTGTTGTTTTTCATTCAAACATTGTTTCAAACTTGCTGGAAAAAAAGGGTCTGCAAATGTGGTTGACAAAGTCTATAGGTTGCTGACTGAAAAAATGCACCAAAGTGTTGCTCATGTTAGATTGTGTCTCACAGCTACCTTCGCTTGCTGCGCTGTGGTCTCTGAGCTGTGGCATTAACATGTTGGCCCCACTTATATAGATACTAAACTGGAAGCGATTGCTAGAAAAAGCCTGTGATGTCAAGGGAAGTCGAAGAATTCAGGTAAGTCCTCAGCAATGCCTGTCTCTTAAGCTCACCCCCACCCTCCAACTTCCCCTACAGCTCTCTCTCTCTCTCTCTCTCTCTCTCTCTCTCTCTCTCTCTCTCTCTCTCTCTCTCTCTCTGTGTGTGTGTGTGTGTGTGTGTGTGTGTGTGTGTGTGTGTGTGTGTGTGTGTGTGTGTGTGTGTGTGTGTGTGTAAAATAAACCATAGTGACCCGAATAGAGCTCCACTCATCTGCAACTGTCTCTTATACACATCTAGATGTGTATAAGAGACAGCTCTCTCTCTCTCTCTCTCTGTGTGTGTGTGTGTGTGTGTGTGTGTGTGTGTGCGTGTGTGTGTGTGTGTGTGTGCGTGTGTGTGTGTGTGTGTGTGTGTGTGTAAAACCATAAAATAAACCATAGTGACCCGAATAGAGCTCCACTCATCTGCAAATCATCCACTTCGTGTTGCTCGTGTATCAGACTGACTGATGTCATACCATCGCCACCTGTAAGCATTCACATATGTACAACGATTGACTGGGGTAGGAGGGAACAGAGAGAAGAGATGGGGAGCTTTTGATGGCGAAGCCATCAGAAGTTGGTGCAGTGACCAACCAAGGAGGGGTGGCGCATCCCCTAAAGCGCTGCCCGTCGCGGCTCATCACAGGGTGATTGTCCTTTGGCTCCCGGTGGGGGGGTGAGAGAAGGGTAGGGAGAGCAAAGCATATGGGAGGATAGCATAGTAGCTAGGAACTCACCATGTGCTCGTTGATGTCAGCATCAATGTTGTGCTCGTCCATGGTGGCCATACTACTCGTTGTGGAGTAGGTAACACGAATCCTGCTCGCAATCGCAGTGTCAGACCAAGAGAGTTCTGTATCTACCGATCGCCGTCTCACCGACTGTTAATCGTAGTACCAATAGAGTAGGTACGTGGTAACAGTCTGAAGAGAGACTGGTTGAGGCCTTAGGGCTGCGCATAGCTATGGGGAGGTGATCCCGTAGCTTACAGTCAGCGAAGGCGTGAAGTAGAGGGTAGAGGATAGTCGTACCAACAGTGGGATCATCCTTATTGCTCTTGAGGATAGTGAGGAACCAATTGGTATGTGGACTAGATAAGTAGTAGTGGGAGAAAGGTAGGGGTGGGGTGGATGGGTAGTGGGGGAGTGCTGGAAACAGGTAAGCTCAAGGGCGTTGGGGGATCATGAATGTGCAGGTGGGGGAAGCAATCGGGGGGAAGGTGTGAGCAGGTTGTGTGGTGTAGCGAGGTAGGGGGTTTGTGTTTGCAGGGGATCCATGGTGGTAGTGTTTGGCATACGTGTGGGTGCATGTTTTTTTGGGGGGGGGGTATCTGGGTAGTGGATGTATGGGCAATTGGGTTGTAGGTTGCGGGTGGGGGGGAGGAGAGGTCAGTACCGATGCGAGGGAGGCTGCGGGTGACAGGTGGGCTTCTGGGTGGGGGGGAAAGGAGTCTAGGGAAAGTCCTGGTTTTTTTTGGGGGTTAGGGGTGTTTTGTTTTGTTTTATATAAAAGAAACGGGGGGGGGGGGCTATGCTTTATGCGTATTGTGGGCTTTTATTTGACTCGGTGAGTGAGTAGCCACGGTTTATGGGACAGCTCTATTTTGGTGAATGGGAAGGAGTGAGGGTGTGTGCGTGTATGTTGAGTTGTTCAGGGGTTTATTCAATGCCTGGAGTCGGTTGGGTGCCTGTCCTGTGTGTTTTGTGGTTATACATTTGTTGATGTGACTGTGCCTATCTATCCACGTATAAGTATTTGTATTTGTATGTATTCGTATGTGTGTTTTTGTATGCATGAGTGTGTGTGTAAGTGTATGTATATGTGTATTCATGAGTTTGTGTATGTGTGTGTATTGTGTTTGGTACGTGTTGGTATGGGTGGTGTACATGTGTGTGTGTGTGTGCGTGTGTGTGTGTGTGTGTGTGTGTGTGTGTGTGTGTGTGTGTACTGAGATATTATGGCATCAGGACTCAGGAGTGTTTTTTTTTTTTTTTTATCAGACAGTCACACGGATTTTTCGGGCATATGGGTACGCCGGCCGGGTTAACTCATCACTCGCGGAATAATGTATACTTAACCAGTTGCAGTCTTTTTTATGCTGCAAGTCATTTTGATGGAAACACACTTGAGTATCATGTTTGTTGGCAGTATGAACTTTGCTTTGCCTTACTGTTACATGCTGCACCTGCAACAGGCTGCACGGGCCATTTTCAGGCCCGTGTCGTTTTCAGCCCGAAAGCCTGAAAACAAGGCCCTACAGGCCCTGTGTCGTTTCAGCCTGAAAGCCTGAAAACAAGGGCCTACAGGCCCTGTGTCGTTTCAGCCTAAAACAGGGCCTTTCCGGCCCTGAGTCTTTTCAGCCTGAAACAGAGGGCCATTTTCAGGCCCTCATAAGATCAACCTGCCCTGAAACTCAGGCACCAGACCAGGGTTTTAGCTCAGGCCATTTTTGGCCTATTTTCAAGACAACCTTTGTTTGAGCTTCAACCCTAGGGTCTGGCACCTTTTGGCATTGGCAAGAGCAGCCTCCTGGACGGGCCAGCACTATACAAGACTGGCCCGCCCTGCAGGCTGCAGGTAGTTCCTAGGTACTTCCCAGGCACTTCACATGCAGTTCAGGAGGCAGGAGGTAGTCTTCAGGATTCGGCAGCAGCACTCCGGAGGAGCGCTGCAGGAGTAGTAGTAGCGCTAGCAGTAGTCTTCAGCGCTGGGCGCTAGTAGCGTTAGCAGTAGTCTTCAGCGCTGGGCGCCATTCAGAGCTAGAGTAGTACTAGAGAGAGAGAGAGATTGGGTGGAGGCCAGGGAGACTTACCTGCAGCGCCATAGCTCCAGCTTCGCCTTCGAGGTACCTGCAGCATGGCGCCATCTTCACAGGTTAGTACCTTTCACAAGAGAGAGAGAGAGAGAGAGAGAGAGAGAGAGAGAGAGAGAGAGAGAGAGAGAGAGAGAGAGAGAGAGAGAGAGAGAG